ATATCTGGCGAAATGTCCTTAAAAAGTGAGGGGAAAATTAAGACATTTCCAAATAAACAAAAGCTGAGCTAATTATCACTAGATCTGCCCTTCAGGAAATACTCATTCCTGCAGGGAGAAATGAAAGGACACTCAACAGTAACTCAAAGTCATGTCACAAAAGGAAGGTATTAAATAAGATAGACACATGGGCAGTTGTAAAAATTACATTTTTCATAACAGTGGATTGTAACTCCACTTTTTGTTTCTTTAATGTTAATGCATTAAAAAGAGCAATTGTTAGTCTAAAAGCTATTAGTATTATAATTTTTGTTTGTAGCTTCAAATCTTGCTTTCTACATTATTTAGGAGCCTAGTAGATTTTAAAGAAATCATTAGTTTGTGTTCTGGGGCACACAATCTATAAATATATACTTTTGTGACCAGTAACCAAAAGTGTTGGAAAAAATGTTATAAAAGCAGAGTTCTTGTATATTATTGAAGTTAAGCTGCTAAAGATTCAAATTAGAGTATTATAACTTCAGATACAATCTCCATGAAGCCACAGAGAAAATAACAATGAAATATACACGAGGATATTAGAAAGTGACACCAAAAAACCCAACTGAACACTAAAGACAATAATAATGCAGGAAGTGAGGGATTTTAAAAAAAGCAAAGCATATAGAAAACAGATAGCAAAATGACAAATAGCAAATGACAAAATAGCAAAATTATCAGTAATTACTTTTAATGTGAATGAATTAAACTCTGCAAAAGATGTGGATTGGCAGAATGGAGAAAACCACAGGCTCCAGCTATATGTTATCTACAGGTGACTCATTTTAGATCCAAAGATGCAAATAGGTTGAAAGTGAAAGTTTGGGAAAAGATATTCCATGGAATATAGTAAACAAGAGAGAGCAGAGATGGCTGTAGAAATATTAGACAAAAATATCAGACTTTAAATTTTTAAAGTTTTCCAATAGACAAAGACAGTTAATACATATTAATAAAAGGTGTAGTACAGCAATAAGATATAACAATTAAAAACATTTGTACACCAAAGACAGAATATCAGAATATATAAAGCAAAACACATAATTGAAGTGAGAAATTAATAGTTCTACAGTAATACTTGGAGACTTCAGTATCCCACTCTCAGTAATGGATAAAACAACCAGAGAGAATATACATAAGAAAACAGGACTCAATACAATAAATGCACATTGAACACTCTACCTAATAACAACAACTCTGTTAAGTCATAGTAGATTTTAAGAGAAAGGTGTACAAAACATCTTCTCCAGATGTAAACAGTTGAGGTTAGATATCTAATAGAAGTAAAACTGGAAACAGCATTTTTTTGGGGAGGGGGGAATTAAACAGTGTACTGTCAACCAGTGGATCAGTGAAGAAATTTAATTTTTCAAGAGCATCAAAAGGAATATTTAGGAATTAACCAAGGAGGAATAAGACTTGTATAGTGAAAATTTCAAAACATTGCGAGAAATTCAAGATGCATAAGCAAATGGAAACACATCCTATATTCAAAGATTGGAAGACCTAATCTATTTTTCTTTTTTGGAAGACTTAATCTTACTAAGATGTCATTACAACTCAAAACATACTCAATGAAATCCCTATCAAAATACTGATGATACATTTTTTGCAGAAATAGAAAATCCCACTCTAAAATTCACATGGAATCTTAAAGGACCCCATATAGCCAAAATAATCTTGAACAGGAACAAAGCTGGGGGACTCACACTTCCTGATTTCTAAACTTACTACAAAGGTATAGTAATCAAAACAGATTGGCACTGGAATGAAGACAGAAATAAGCCCTTGCCTACTTGGTGAGGTGATTTTTGTCAAGGATGCTAAGACCATTCAGTATGGATAGAACTGTCTTTCAACAAATGGGACTGGGAAAACTGGATATCCACATGCAAAAGAATGAAGTTGGACCTTCACCTAACACTATATGCAAAGTCAAAATAGAAAGAGCTTCATGACACTGGATTTTGCAATGATACCTTGCATATGACACCAAAGACACAACGAGAGAAAAAATAGACAAACTGAAGTTCATTAAAGATTTAAAATTTGGAGATTAAAAGGTAAAAACTTTCAGTTATGAAATCAGTCCTTGGTGTGAAATGTACAGTCTGGAGACTATGGTCAATAGTTTTGTAATATCTTTGTATTGGATCTCTTGGAAATGTATAAAAATGTCAGGTCACCATGTTGTGTATCAGAAACTAGCATAACGTTTTAGGTAAGTTATACTTCAGAATCAAGCTCATAGAAAAAGAGATCAGATTTGTTAATACTAGAGATGGGGATCAGGAGAGGGGAGTTGATGAAGGCAGTCAAAAGGCACAAATATCCAGGTTTTAGTGCTGGGGATGTAATGTATAATATGATGAAGATAGTTAACACTGCTGTACATTATATATGAAAGTTTTTAAGGTTAAATTCTGAGTTCTCATCACAAGGAAAAAAGTTTTTTTCTATTTTTAAAATTTTGTATCTGTATGAGGTAATGCATGTTCACTAAACTTACTGTGGTAATCATTCATGATGTATATCAAATCATGCTGTACACTTAAAGTTATACCACTTGTATCAGTTATATCTCAGTAAAACTAGGGCAAAAAATTAAAGAAAAAATTTTTTCTATCCATTAGAGACTCTTAAAATACATTCAAAAAAATTTTTGTGTATTCTAAGAAAGACACTCAACAGAAAAGACAATCCACAGAATGGGAGAAAACAATTGCAAATCATTTATCTGATAAAAGATTAATGTCTACATAGAGAACTCTTATCTATATATTATTTATTTACTCTTATCTGTATATTAATATATAGATATGTTAATATCTATATAGAGAACTCTTAAAACTCAACAGCCAAAACCAAACACCTGAATTTAAAAATGGACGTGGATTTGAATGGACATTTCTCCAAAGAGATATAAATGGTCAATCGACACATAAAAAGAGGCTCAATATATGGTATAATATGGGTAAACTATGGGGACATGATGCTGAGTGAAATAAACTAGTCACGATAGGACAAATACTGTATAATTCCATTTCTATGAGATACTTAGTGTTGTCAGACTCACATACATAGAGCATAAAACAGTTGTTGTGAAGACCTGGTGAGAGGGGACAGTGGAATGTTATTCTTTCATAGGTATAGAGTTTCATTTTTTAAGATGAAAAAAGGTATGGACATGATGGTGGTGATAGCTTCACAACAGTCTCTGTGTGCATGTATGCGAATGCATGCACTCAGTAGTGTCTGACTCTGAGATTGCATGGACTGTAGCTTGCCAGGCTCCTCTGTACAAGGGTTTTTCCAGGCAAGAATACTGGAGTGGGTTGCCATTTCCTATTCCAGGGGATCTTTCTGACCTAGGGATCGACCCCCTCATCTCTTGCCTCTCCTGCATTAGCAGGCAGGTTACCACTAGCGCCACCAGGAGAGACCACTGAATCAAACATTTAAAAATAGTGAAGATAGTAAAATTTGTTATATGTATTTTACCACAGTACAAGGGTTCTGTGAGCTAAGTGAGATTGAAAGTGAAAGTGAGTGAGATTAAACATAGTAAATAATAGCTTCTTGTCTCTTGAGGGAGAACTTGATTTTTGAAAGCAGCTATAAGTTATGTGGAGCTTGGTTATTATTTGGAGGGTTAAACTTGTTATTAACATTTTTGATTGAGAACAAGATTTAAAAAAGAAAACTTAGTAGTACTAATTTTTGGATGGCCAGTAATTTTTAAAGATAATTTTATGCTTTAATTATAGAGTTGCAAATATAGTACCTTGCATTTGTTTGTCATTTCTTACTCTCTTACAGTCTGTGACAGTTCCTTAATATTTTCTGTGTTTTCTGACCTTGACACTTCTGATCAAGTTGGTCAAATGTAATTTATTTAGAATGTCCTTCAGTTCGGGGTTTGATGACTTCTCTTGATTAGATTGAGGATATGCATTACTGGGTAGGTTACCACAGAGGTGAGGTGCCTTTCTCAGTACATCTTAACATGGAGTGTGTGATGTTCGTATGCATTACTAGTGATGTTAACCTTGATCATTTGGCTCAGATGTTGTCTGCTAAGATCTTATACTATAAATTTTCTGTTTTTTTCCTTTGTAATTACTAGATATTTTGGGAGAGATACTCTGAGATTGCGTTTAAACTTCTACCCACTGATTTTAGCATCCATTTTTCTTGCCTGTGGCAGTTATTTATTGTGGAGCTCTAATGGTGATTTTTATATTTGCCTCATTCTTTCCACATTTATTAACTGGAATTTTTTTTGGTAGGAGGAGCTGTTCCTTTATTCTCCTTACAGATTTTTTAGTCAAGCTTAGTCAAGATCCAATTGAATTTTATCAATGTATTCCAATTTGAGGGGGAAGGGTAGGTGGTTCTTCTGTAAGTTAAGGGCTGAATAGAATCTATACGCTCAGTTCTCTGTTTTGTGCTTTATAGCATTTTGCTTTTTAAAGTTTACTTTTCTGTGGTTCTTATTTTTATTATTATTTTTAAATATTTATTTTATTATTTATTTGGCTGTACCAGGTCTTAGTTGTGACATGTGGGATTGTTGATCTTTGTTGTGGCATGCAGGATCTTTAGTTGTGGCATGTGGGATTTTTTTAGTTGCAGCAATTGAACTTAGTTGTGGGACATGGGATCTAGTTCCCTGACCAGGGATTGAGCCCCAGCCCCCTGCAGTGGGATCGTAGAATCATAGCCACTGGACCACCATGGAAGCCTCTTATTTTTTTTGTCTTTGAAGTAATTTTTTTTTGTGTGAAAACGCATACAACTATTGAGATGATTTTTCTGATTTCAAATATTGCAAGTCATAAGTTAGGGGGAACATAGCAAAATTGTATTTTGTGTTAATATATGGTTTTAAATTTTATAATTTCTGTAACTCGATTAGAATGAAAGCATACCTTTAACTTTTTTTCCCCCCTCTTTCTTAGGCTTGAAAAGGAATATACTACAATAAAAACTAAAGAAATGGAAGAACAAGTTGAAATTAAAGTAAGCGTCTTAGGACTTTAAAAAATACTGAACATAATTTGATTGAAGTCAGTTATTTGGCAATATATGTTAGGTTATGTTGACCTATGTTGATATGTTGTAGATTTAATGATGGTGTTTGTATTTATTTATTGATAAATTTACCATCCTACTAGGTTATAGTTAAAAATAGATATTTCAAAAAATAATGTGACTGAAGTGGTTTTCATTCTAATATGGAAGAAAGCAGCTTTTCCTTTTTCTGGATTTATTGGCAGGTCATCAGGAGAAAATACTTTTTTGGGGGAAAAATAATTATCATTCCTTTTAAGCATGTTTTAAAAAGTTACAGAGAAGGTAATCTATAACATGCTGAGACTAAAAGCAGTATAGTATAAGGAAGACCAAATAGAGAAGATTATTGCATTAGAAATAATTTTGGCTGCTTTAGAGAATCAGAAAGCTTTGACTAATTCAATCTTCCAATCTTTAAGCGAAGGTTATATTTTAATTACTGTTCAGAGAAACAGGTAGATTTTCAATCTGAAGGACATGTAAATTCACATGTGTATCTTAAAATTGTTTGTATCCCTGTAGGCTAGAAATTGTTGAGGATCCTTTAACATTGTGTAAGCTGGGTGTTAAGGAAAATTAAATTGGCTCTTATGCTGATATTTCAAGATGGGGATAATGAATGGAATTCAGTGACTGGCTGATCCAATTTCTTACCTTTTATTTTCTCCCTAATTCCTGCAAAAGAAAAAGAAAAAGCAAATTTATTGAATGACTCTACTTAAAAACAAAACAAAACAGCACAGCTATATGTTTGAATGTGTCTGATTTTTTACTTGGACCTAGCAAGACATTTGATGAACATCTTATTTACAGTTCACTAGCCATGTATTAATTCAACCTTGCTATAAAATAAAACTTCATTACTCACATCCTACAGGCCCTTTTTACTAAGGAATGAGTTCTGCTAAATTGCTGCTCTTTCTTACCATAATCCTGCTCATAAGCTTCCTGGAACACAATCTCTTCCCTCATCAACTCTGTCTCTCTTTTATTTCCATTTCTATCACCTACTCACTGTCTGTTGGAAATAGATACTTCTAAATTTTTCAGAGAGAAAGAGAGGAAGAGAGAAAGAAAAGACCCCTGTGGATTTTTTCCTCTTTTTTTTTTTTTTTTTTTTAAAGTCTGTCATCCAACTGCTGCTCTACTATTTGCTTTTCTTTTAGGTTCCATGAGTAAGAGTAATATTAAATCATACCCTCCACTTCAACCTACCGAAAGTAAAAAGTACGTCATCCTGATGACTGGGGCGAGACCATGGGTTATTCGGAACTGCAAATCAAGAATCTGAGGATGGGGGAACCATCCTGTTCATTTCATCATGCTTTGTTGTTGAAAAAAAAAAAAAAAAAAAAAACAACACCTCAGTTCTATGAACAATCCTTGCTCTTGAAGAAGTTTTTTTTCTAAGATTAAGTCACATATGTAGGAATATCAAAAGGCCTTTTCAGAAAGATCTAGCAGACTTTAGCCTATATTTGCAGGGTTTTTTTCAAGTTTTTATTTTTGGGTAAAGTAATAGTTGACATACCTCACAAAATACTTTAAAATATGTTTTAGGCAAAACAGATGGCTTTTATAAAGTTGTTTATAGGGAAGAATCTGGGGAAAAAATGTTTAAAAAGTTAGTGGAATGCATTGGGTAAATAAAGTATGCTGATTTCAAAGATAGTTCCTTTTATAAAATCTTGTTTCCACATAGTTCTTTTTTACTCTTATACTATTTTCTTTCCTTTCCTCACTCCTCCTGTCCCTTAAAGGACAAAGCCAAAACAATTTTTGTGTAACTGTACTTTTTAAACTTTGTTTGCATATGTCTGATTTTTAAGTTGGATCTGGCAATTATTCTCAGTCATAATCAGAAGACCACCTTATTTACAGTTGATTAGCCATGTATTCTTGGAGCCTTTCTCATCAATGGGTAATGCCACTTCTTTATTCACATTCCCTTCCCCTCCCACAAGGTCCCTTTTACAAAGGAATTAATTCTGTTAAACTAGTACTTTCTTGCTTTGGTTCTTAAAAGCCTTTGGGAGATAATCTTACATTGTTCTTTTCACAAATAGTATGATGATAATTATGTGATTTTCTTTTTGCATTTTATTGTAGTTTGTGGATATTGTATTTTTTTTGCTTGTTTATTTTAAATTGGAGGATAATTGTTTTGCAATGTTGTGTTGATTTCTGCTGTACAGCAACATGAATCAGTCATAAGTAAACATGTGTTTCCTCCCTGATGAACCTCCCCGACTCCATCCTACCCGTCGAAGTTGTTACAGAGCACTTGGTTGAGCTCCCTCCTGTTACACAGCAGCTTCCCACTAGCTATCTGTCTTACAGACAGTAATGTATGTGTTTCAGTGATACTCTGTCAATTTGTCCCACCCTTTCCTTCCCCCACTGTCCTCAAGTCTGTTCTCTATGTCTGTGTCACCACTGTTGCCCTACAAATAGGTTTATCAGTACCATTTTTCTAGATTCCATATATATGTGTTAATACATGATATTTGTTTTTCTCTTTTTGACTTACTTCACTCTGTGTAAAAGGCTCTAGGTTCATCCACCTCAGTTCAACTGACTCAAATTCGTTCCTTTTTATGGCTGAGTAATATTCCATTGTATATATGTACCACAACTTTTTTTATCCACTCATCTGCCAGTGGACACATAGGTTGCTTCCATATCCTGGCTATTGTAAATGTTAATCTCCAAAATACACAAGCAGCTCATTGCAGCTCAATATTTGAAAAGCAAAAAAATCCAGTCAAAAAATGGGCTGCAGACCTAAACAGACATCTCTCCAAAGAAAACATGTAAATGGCCAACAAATTCACGAAAAGATGCTCAACATGGCTCATTATTAGAGAAATGCAAATAAAAACTACAATGAGGTATTATCCCACACTGGTCAGAAGTGCCATCATCAAATAATTTGCAAGCGGTAAGTGCTGAAGCAGATGTGGAGCAAAGGAAACCCTCTTGCACCATTGATGGGAATGTAAATTGATACAGCCACTATAGACAGCATAGAGTTTCCTTAAAAAACTAGGAATGAAACTACCATATTACCCAGCAATCCCACTTCTAGGCATATACTCTGAGAAATCCATAATTCATAAACACATGTACTCCAGTGTTCATTGCAGCACTATTTACAATAGCCAAGACATGGAAGCAACTTTGATATCTATCAGCAGATAGGTGGATAAAGAAGTTGTTATGATATTTTGATATAGAAGTAAAAGATCATTCTTTGATGTTATGACATATGTTTAAGGTTTGACCTTCAGGTCAATAACTTTTATGCTAAGAATTCTGTCTGTCAGCTTCTTGATCAAGAACGTGACTTTCAAGTATTTTCCATTCTTTCTCTGAAAGTGTTATAGGAAGATTTTGTTGATAATGATTTCATACGGTGAATGTTACATTTTACCGTGTGAAATTTTTTGTTAATAGAAACACCTTTGTCAGTATCTTCTTCCAATCTCTTGATGTTCTACCCGAGGGGAAGGAGGTAAGAAATACTAAAATTCTAGCTTATGTGGGGGTAAACCACAGATCTTTAAAAATGAAGAGCCTTTATCCCCTGCCCTATTTAAGATAGACCTATGAATTTATGTTTAAATTTGTGCTTTTGGGCATAGAGATTTAAGTCCTGTGAAGAGGAGTTAGAAATTCTGACTGGTTATTAGTCAGATTTGGATATTTTTTACTTCAAAAATTATGAGATATTCCAGATATGCTGAAAACTAGAGCATATATATATAAAATATATTTTTATACATATATAAAACATCTGTTTTCACTGCCTGACATAAATAATACAAACGTGACAAGTGTTATTTAAGTCATTCAGGAATTATATTAAACAATCAATATAAAGTACTAGTATTCACACATTTATTCAACATTTAATATATGAAGGATAATTTATATGCATTATCTCCTTTTAATCTTCTGTAACCTCCTGAAATGATTGTTCATCTTTCGGTGAAGAAACTAAGGTTCAGGAAGCTCAAATAACATGCTCGTGGTTATATTGATAGAGGGCTTCTCTGGTGGCTTAGATGGTAAAGAATCCGCATGCAGTGCAGGAGACCTGAGTTTGATCCCTGGGTTGGAACGATTGCCTGGAGAAGGAAATGGCAACCCTCTCCAGTGTTCTTGCCTGGAGAAACCCATGAACAGAGGAGCCTGGAGGGCTGCAGTCCATGGGGTCTCAAAGAGTTGGACATGACTGAAGTGACTTAAGCATGCAAGGACATACTGATAGAAGATTGTCAAGGGTTAGAACTCTGATTTGGGTTAGTGTGAGATTCATACGTGTTCTTAAGTATATACATTGTGCTACTTGCCAAGAGAGACTTTAATGTATTGTTATCTAAAAAGGACTTATATGCCAATTTTTCTGTGGCTTTACAAGCTTTTCATTAAAAAATGAATAGCTACTTAATAAAATCCAGTGGGGAAACAAGAGCATAATTTATTGAAGAAATCATTCATTTAACAGATATCTACAGTGCCTGCTGCATGTCCAAACACTGTTCTAGGCATTTGAGATGTGTTTATGAAACAGACCAATTCCTGCCTTCGTGATGCTTATATTCTAGTGTTGAAAATATATGATAGGTAAAATGTACAGTATTTTAGATGGTGATAAGTGTTAAACAAAGGGGAAAAGAATCTTAGGGAAGGGCAAATAAACTGATGGTGTTTGGATTAAAAATTTAGAGTAATTGACCAGGTTTCCTTTGAATAAAGACCTGAAGGAAGTGAGGGAGCTAGATATAAAAGGAGAGCTGAGTCTGGTCAGGAGAGTGCTGTTAAGGAGTAGTGATAGGACAGCATGAAAATGAAGGAAGTAATAAGACATAAGATGTTGCATGTTACAAATAATATAGGGAGTTGTTGAACATATGAAGACTTTAGCTTTTCCTCTGGTGAGC